CTGCCCTGAGGCCGAGCCCGCTCCCTGCGCACACCCACGACTCCGTGGTGCCTCCAAGCCCAGAGGGACTCGCTCTCTCTCTCTCTCTTTTTTTTTTTTTTTTTCGGAGAAAACAGAGGGAAGCAAATGAAGCTGGGTCTGCCCCTCGCCAGCCCTCCCTTCTCCTCCCGCCGCAACCAAGTGGTGTTTATTCTGCAACAAACTGGGGGAGAAAGCCAGGAAATCCTAAGTGACAGCTCACTCTCCAGCCACCGAGCGCTTGTTTTCTACATGTCTGTGAGCAAGTGCGAGCTCCAGCTCCAAATTTCCTGCCTTTTGTTGGCTCGTGGCATGATTTAAATGTATGGAGAATTCCCCCCCCACCCCGCCTCTCTTGCCTGAATTCATTTTTGAGGACCTCATTGTTCTGGGAACAATGGGAATAGGAACAGTTAGTTCGGTCCCATGGAAGAAAAACGCATTTGCTTGATAGTTCTAATCCTTCCGGAGGTCAGGACCAGATTTTATTCTTCTAAATTGCAGATTTTGCAAAAAAAATACCTATGCAGGGGGACTGGCTGTACAGATAACGTCTCTGGACACTTCCAGCCTGAAGGAGCACTCGGTGCCTATGCAGAAAAGAGCCCCAGCTCCAGACTCCCACGATTCCCAATCAAACCATAGGCACATCCCTGCTCCCCAGATCCTCATCTCTAAAGCAAGCAGGTCCCTTTCGCTTTATCCAGACGGAGCTATCTTGCAGTTGGCAGCGCCTTGGGTGCACGAGCGCTCTGACCCCATCAGCTGTGAGCTGCTCGCCAGCGCTGGGCTTTTCTGGTAGGGAGTGCCCAAAGGCCGGAGACTCACCCACGGACAAGCGCAGCCCGCGCCCGTGGGCTGCCACCACACCAGAGCAAGCTCAGGAAAGTGGGGAAAAGCAAAGGATCAAGAGAAAGCAGGTTCCCAGGGCTCCACCCTGAGCCAGCCCTGTGTGCTGTACGCTGGCTGGCAAATCGCCTGGGGGACAGTCATCTGCAGCCACCTGGCCCACAGAGGGACCAGCCATAAACCCGGGGTGCGTACAGGGGACGGAGCATCCACAAAAGCAGTTCAGTCATTACACGGGCAGATGGAGAGGAGCAAACAGAGCCACAGCTCAAGGACTGTCCCTTCCCCTGCCCACATGAGCATGGCCACCGCCACGAGCTGCCGGGCAGGTGCCGAGCCCCTCTCCCCATCCGCAGCTCCCACGTGCCCCAACTGGAGAGGTCGGGTGGCGATGACGAGCCTCGCTGGCCCCTGAGCCAAGGCACGTGCCAAGACACACAGGGGCAGGGCCACCGTGCTTACGACAGGATCTTGCTACTCAGCTCCTCAGTTTTCTGGGGGCCAACACATCGGCTGCCTGGGATGCTTGGCATGAGGCAAAGAGCTATCAAAGCCTCCCCACCCCACGGGGAGCCCAAACAGCGAGAACCAGAGAGGAGTCACAGACACAGCCCCTAAAATAAGGACACTGGTCCTCAAAGCACCGCCCTGCCCCACACCAGCCTCCCCACAGCGTGACCACACCGAGCTGGACGCCTCCAGGCCCCGTCTCCCCCCAGCCCTCCCTCCTGAGCAGGCAGAGATTTTGGCGTGATAACCATTTGCTCATGGGCTTCCTTCCCAGGGCAACTCTGCTTCCCCTTTTTCAGCAGCAGGCTTCTTTTTCCGAGGGGCACCTGAGCATCCCGCTGGGAGCCTGCACGGGCTGAAGGGCAAAGCGGGCAGCAAGAGCCTCGCTGCCTGGACCCGGCGCTCCAGCTCCGCTCGCCGCATCACCGGGAACGTTCCCCCCGGCGGCTTTTAACCATTATCATAAACTCAACAAGTTGCTGCATCACGCAGTTAAGCACGGGTATAATCCGGGCTCCTTCCCTCCAGTTTCTATTTCGGTCTCTGCCCCCAGGAGCACGGGACCGTTCCCTGCTATTGTATCCAGGCTACTTTTAAGCAACCTAAGCACAATGGAGCGTCCCGCACTTCCCCTGGGAAACCACCTTCCGGATAAACACATCCCTCTCGGAGGAACATTTTCCTGATTTCCAGCCCCTTGGAATGGGCTGGATGATGAAATTTCCGTTCTGTGGGAAACTGAATTTTGAAATATGTTTTTGTTCCAAATCTGGATGAAAAGCCAAAATTTTCCTCTTAGAATGAAAAATTTTGGCCGGGAGTTGTCCAAGCACTTCGTTTTGATAATGTTGAACCGCTTAATTTTACTAAAGCAAAAACATTTTGCTTCAATAGCATCAAAACAACTCTTCAGTCAGCTTTACACGTTGCATTTAGGCCAAAGTCAAATTGAGACATTTCCACTTTAAACAAAGCAAGAAATTGAAATGAATCATTTCAGCTTGCGTCTCGTCAGAATACACGCAGCCCTGTGAAAACCGGGATGGAAATGTGTTTTTGACCATTTTATAACAAAGTTGCTGGTCCTGGTTTCCATTTCTACAGCTTACTCATTTCATCCCCTTCCCTGGGGCTTTAAATACCAACGATCATCATCTTTCTCTGACGTTTACACCTTAAAGCAGGGTCAGCAGTTTTGGAGCGGAGCTACTCTCAGTATCTCCAGCCAGCGGGCTGGGTTATTTAGTTTAAACAAGGAATCAAGTCGGCTCCCTCAGCGAGGCTTTGGGAAAGACAGTCACAGCTCGGCTTTGGCAAGGGGACACGCTCAAGAGCTGTGTGCGCAGCGTACGTCCGACTCCCCGCTCCTCTTCTGTTTGTTACCTAACCCTCAGCTCAAAACCACCATCACATCCCACATCCCGGCACCCCGGGACTCCCTGCCACATTCCTGTGATCCTACCCAGTGTGTGCACACTTGAGTGTGCAGCGACGCACAAGTCCGGCTCACGACCTGCTATAAATGCGCTGCTGGGCACAGCAGGACTCAGCCGAGGGTCCCATCCTGCTCCCAAAATGTCCATGGGACACTGCCGGGAACAGAGAGGGGTCTGGCAACCACCCTCCCACCAGTGCTCCAGATATCAGACACATCGTCGTATTCAAAGCAGATATCAAACGCTGCCTGCAAAACTACATTAGTTTGGTCAGGATTGACTGACAAAATAGATAACGCTCCGGTGTAATTAAAAGCACATTTCCCATGGCATATGCAGAGTCAGAGGTAATTAAAGCTGGCTTCTCCTCCTAGGCAGAGGCATTCTTTTCGGTACTTCTGCAAAGCAGCTTATTACAGCACCTGCCCAGCTGCTTTGGTTGCCTGTTCTCGCATCAGCAAGCTGCGCGGGCCTCGGGCTAATGAAAGCCCCTGGATTAGGTGCACTGGGATGCATCTTAGTTATTCAGCAAATGGGAAGACCAAGAGCACAAAGAAACCTGTTCCCTTTGCCTAGTGCAGACGGAGTGGCGGAAGACCAAGGGCTGCTCGGTGGCCTGGGACAGGGAGAAGGACCACCGTTCCATCCCTACGTTTTGGCAGAGGGGCAACGGCGAAACTTGCACGGGGCCGGGGCAGCAGGGACCGGGGCTGCAGGGCAGGCAGAGGTCCTGGCAGGACCACCCTTCACTTCTGCTACAGGAGGTCTCCAGGGGGGGCAAAACAGGCACCAGCCTGGCAGTCCCCGCCCTGGGACGCTCTTTATAAAGAGACACCAGAGCACCTTACGGCAAGGGCTACGCAGGCTGGGCTCTGCTCTGTGACGGAGGGGATCCCAGCACCCCTGCCAGCAGGA